CTTAGGCCTAAGTCATGCGACCGTTGCGCACTTACGCGACTTCGCGTGAGTCTACTTCAATCTGCGCTTTCACAAAATAAGCGGTATTGTATATCTCAAAATGTCGATTAAACTCAATATTCTCCAATCAAAAACCACTAGCTTGTAGCAAGTACTTCATTCTTCTTCTATAACAAATGTTGACCGAGTAATTTTTGAGCATCCATGACATTTAAGAAATCACAGTAACATCAATATTAAAAGTTAAGTCCATCGGGGAGATTTGATTGTGAAGAAGGGTTGCCTTGCACATCTCGGACCCTTTTGCGAAGTCTTCGCACTCTGCTATCCAAAGCTTCACGCACTCGCTTCCAAGTAGCTTCCTTGAGATGTTGCGGGACCGAATAGTACTCATTAACACACTAAAAAATAAGAAGGTAAACTTCGGGCTTAGTCGGATGCGGTAGGAAAGAATAGCAGCAAGAACTGTGACTGTAAAGATCCACACCTGTCTCAAAAATATCACTTTATCCTTCGTTTTTAAACGTCGTTCCACAGGCAAGTCCAGCTCCGAAGCATCGTCCTTATAAATTTCTGCTTCCAGATCTAACGCAAATTGTGTGACGTTAGATCCTTTCAATGTCCTAAGCTGTGCCACGAATTCAGGACTTGTATGGGTGTAGCGAATTTCGCCTGAACAGATTGATTTAAAACAATTTTTATCACTCTACTGTGGAAATTTTACCAGTATCCGTTGCAGGAAGTCGACGCAAAATCTCTGCTAGCATTTCTTCCATGTGCTCTACGCGGCTCAATCTCTAGAATAAACAGCCATATTATGAAAAAAAAATCTGAGCTATAGTAGAGTACCTACCTCTTCCATGACGCTTAACTTTGTTTCAATTGCCGTCAGCCTCTTTATCACTTCATTATCCGTATCACCGGCCACAATACCAGTCTTCGTATCTATTTCATCGGAGGTATCATATTCCACATATTCATTCGACGTCTCCTTTCCAGTCATCGTGGAGGGCTTTGTCTCATACATCTTGGTTTTACTCGGAAGTCTAAAAAAAGTTTG